AGGCTTTAAATCTTAGTGTGAGCAGAAAGCCTCATCTTTCTCCTGTGGAGTGCCTGGCACCCTTGAACTGTGGACCTTGTGGTTTATGGTCCAGTGCTTACCGTATGGAGCCACCACGCTTCCCACTTACTCCTTGTTAAGTGTTGATGAGTGCCGTTGAATCAGCTTGGACTCATAGTGACCCTGTATAGGGTTTCCGAGGAGTGGCTGGTGAGCTTGAACCGCCGACCTTGAGGTTCAAACCGACCTTGCAGTGCAGCACCTTAATCCTTACTTATTGTTGTTAAGTGCCGTCGAGTCAGTTCTGACTCATAGCAACCCTCTAGAGGGTTTCCAAGGAATGACTGGTGAGCTTGAACCACCAGCTTTGCAGTCAAGCGCATTAACCCACAACGCCACACCAGGAATCCTTACTAGTTCCACCTTAATCCTGTTTGTTAAGTGTCTTAGAGTTGGTTCTGACTCATAGCTACCTTGTATACAGTTTCTGAGGAGCAACTGATGGGTTTGAACCGTTGGCTTTGCAGTTCAAGCTAACCTTGTAGTCGAGTGCTTGGTCTACAGCGCCACACCAGGACTCATCTTAATCTTTGTTGTTGTTGTTGTTGTTAAGTGCTGTTGAGTCGGTTTCAACCCATAGTAACCCTGCATACGGTTTCCAAGGAGCACCTGGTGAGTTTGAACAGCCAATGTTGTAGTTCAAACTAACCGTGTGGTTGAGTGCTTACTTAGTCCCACTGTTAACAACTCATTTCAAAATGGGTCCATAATCACATGTATAGTTAACTGTTCAGTGCCCGTCTCATAGAGACCCTCTATAGGGTGTCCAAGGAACAACTGATGGGTTTGAACTACCAGCCTTGTGATGAAGCAGTCCAGTGTTTATCCTACAGTGCCACAGGCCTAGAGGCTTAGGATTTACAATGCACTGAAGAATGGAGGACCAGGGTTACTATTGGTGGTGGTGGTGATGTGCCGTGGAGTTGGTTCCGACCCATAGCGACCCTGTACAGGGTTTCCAAGGCTATAAATCTTCACAGGAACAGAAAGCCTCACCTTTCTCCCACGGAACTGCTGGTAGTTTCGGACTGCTGACCTTGATGTTAGCAGCCCAATTTGTAACCACTACACTACCAGAGCTCATGACTGTTGTTGTTGTTGTTGTTGTTAAGTGCCATCGAGTCGGGTTCGACCCATAGCGACCCTGTACAGGGTTTCCGAGGGTGTAAATCTTTACGGGAGTAGAAAGCCTCATCTTTCTCCCGCGGAGCGACTGGTAGTTTCGAACCGCTGACCTTAAGGTTTGCAGCCCGATTCGTAACCACTACGCTACCAGAGCTCCTTTCCTTATGACTAGAAGGGTCTTAATAAATAATGTACTGCCCTGTAGATCATCCCTTTTGCTTTTAGCCGTTGGGCCTTTCATACTTGAAATTTCCCACAGGAAACAGTTGAAAAATAGACGTTAATACCTATGCTTTTACAGTGGTGTCATTTTGCGTGTTCACTCAACCCTCAGAATTTAATTATTTACTCCAAATCAGGGCTTTGGGAATTTTTGCTTAGTATCAAGGAGCCTATAACCCAGGAGTAAGGAGCTCTTCTGGTAGTGTAGTCGTTACGAATTGGGCTGCGAACCTTAAGGTCAGCAGTGTGAAACTACCAGCTGTTCCTCGGGAGAAAGATGAGGCTTTCTGCTCCCATAAAGATTTACAGCCTTGGAAACCCTGTACAGGATCGCTATGAGTCGGAACTGACTCCACAGCTCATAACAATAACAACAACATAACCCAGGAGTAGAGATGACATACACTTAGGTAGGTTTGTTATAATTTATAAATTGGAATATTATGAATTCCATATATTAAAACCAGATTTACAGAAAGCAATGTGGAAGTTCTGGGGAGAGACTGTTTCCAGTTGAAGGGACTCAGAGAAGACATAGTGAATTATGGTGGTTGAGCTTTTCCCTTTATTTAATTCAACAAGTACCATTGAATACCTGAAATCCTGGGGTGGCGCTACAGGATAAGTACTGGACTATTAGCAGCAAGGCTGGCAGTTCAAACGCACCATCCACTCCTCAGAAACACTATACAGGGTCACTACAGTTCAATAGGACTTAACAAAAAAATTGAACTCTTTCTATATGCTGGGTAATTTTTTTGTGGTTTATTTCCTTTTAACTTTTTATTGTGATTTGGATGACAGTTTAGAGAGCAAATCAGTTTTCCATTCAGCCATTCAGTTTGCTTTGTGACGTTGATTGCCGTCCACACAATGTAACGGAATTCTCACTGCCTGTCTGTGTGTCCTGTTTCCGTGTGTCCTCTTTCCTATCCCCTCCTGCCTTCTGAGCTTTCTCCCTGAACAAATGCAGCCCTTTGGATCTTGGAGGACTTTTTCTAAGGAATGCGTAGCTCCCTGGTATTACTGTTCACCTTTTAGGTCTGCCTGTCAGCCCGCTGAAACTTGAGCCATCGGGTCTCCTGGTGACGTTTATTGATTTATTGGTTTATTTTTTAACTCAGAAGATTGATAATTTTACTTTCACATGTCCCAATACAAATAAACATAAGCGCCTTTTTCTTTCCCTCACCTCCACTATTGGTGTGGATAAAGCACTGGACCACAAGGTCAGTTTGAACCACAAGGTAGGCAGTTCAAACTCACCAACCACTCCTTGGAAACCCTATACAGGGTTAATATGAGTCGGAATCGATTTGATAGCACTTAACAACAGCAATGCACCACTCCAGAAGTATTCTCTCTTGGATAGAAAGGGGGAGCTAAGCCTTCCTTGTCATGTTGTTGGAAAACACCCAGATCTGCTGAAGAAGTCTAAGAGATATGCAAAAAAGTATAAAGAGACACAAAAAAGCTTCCTTGTCCATCTGTCTGGTCCAGCCACCGAGTGGGCACCATCTTGGGACGAGGGGAGGGGTCTCATCATTGGGGCCCAGGCCTCATTGACATGTGACCTCGTATTTCAGAAGCCGTTCCCACTGGCTTCATGCCATATCCATCTCCTGGTGGCTTTAATCATTGTGTGTTTAACTTCTGGTGTGTATGTATGTCTTTGACCATTCCTCCAAGACTTAAACTATTTCCACTTTCTCATCATCTGGAAGCTAAAGCCCAAACTCTTCAGGCCCACCCAGCGCTCCCTTTGGGTTTGCAGTCTTCATGGCACAGGACTGAGGACAGCCCCCTTGACCGTCCCATGATGGCGCCCTCTCAGCCAGGAGTGACCAGTCCAAATGGAGACATATAGGGCAGCTTCTCTATATTTCGTGTACCATACACGTCTTCAGTGGACTCTGGTGTAGTGCTATAGGATAAGTGCAGGACTGCAAGGTCGGTTTGAACCTCAAGGTCTGCAGTTCAAACTCACCATTCGCTCCTCAGAAGCCCTATACTGGGTTGCTATGAGTTGGAACTGACTCCATGGCAGTTAACAACGACATGCTTCTTCAGCAGCACAGGGCTGCTGCCAGCATGCCGTTTGGCAGCTTCCAGCATGCCGTTCACTCATTCCTCCTCCGTGTGCTCTACTCTCCACCAGCACTCACCTCTCTCTGTGGTGCTCCACCAATTGTCTTCTGACCCCTGGCAACCCCTTCTCCTCCGTGCACAAAGCAATCCCTGTGATTGGTTGCACATCACACTGTGGCGATCCTAGCATTTTCATTGGCTGATTTTTGAAGTAGAGTGACAGGCCTTTCTTCTGAGCCTATCTATAGTCTGGAAGCTCCGCTGAAACCTATTTGGCATCATTGCAACACACGAGCCTCCACCAGCAGACAGGTGGTGACCGCCCATGAGGTGTCCTGGCTGGGAATTGAACCTGGTCTCCCACATGAAAGGCAAGCGTTTGACCACTGAGCCACCACTGCGCCTCCCACCCCCTCAAGAACCCACCCAAAGGACAACTTTCCCTTCAAGATTGAGCTCAAATGCCGATACCTTCTGGAAGTCCACTCTCGTGGTGGTGGCAGTGGTTGTATGCAGTGAGTTGGTTCTAACTCAGCGACTCTGTGTAGGGTTTCCAAGATTGTAAATCTTTACGGGAGCAGAAAGCCTCAACTTTGTCCCCTGGATCTACTCCCGGAAAGTTTGCAGACCAGTAAAAACGTACGAGGTAGTTCTACTCTGCCACATGGGATCACCATGGGTTAAAATCTGTGGCAACCCACGGAGACCTTCACTAGACCAAGCTCTTGAGGGCAGAGTTTGGGTCCCACCCATCACAGTGACTCCAGAGCCAAAAAACCAAACAGTACTGCTGTCGATTCTGATTCATAGCGACCCTGTGGGACAGAATAGGGTCTCCTTAGGGTCTCCAAGAGTGTCAGTCTTTACCCGAGCAGACTGCTACGTCTTTCTCCTGTGGAATGGTTGCTGGGTTCAAACAGGCAAGCTTTCACTTAGCAACCCCACCCTTAACCCACTGCACCAGCAGGGCTCCATTGGTAGTGGTGGTGGTGATGTGCCGTGGAGTTGGTTCCAACTCATAGTGACCCTGTATAGAATTTCTGAGGCTGTAAATCATTACAGGAGTAGAAAGCCTCATCTTTCTTCTGTGGAGCCACTGGTAGATTTGAACTGCTGACCTTGCAGTTAGCAACCCAGTTCATAATCCACTACGCTACCAGGGCTCCTTTGTTGTTGTTATGTGCTGTTGAGACCGTTCTGACTCATAGTGATCCTGTATAAGGTTTCTAAGGAGCAGCTGATGGGTTTGAACTGCCGGCATTTCAGTTCATAGTCCAGTGCTGATCCTACAGTGCCACACCAGGAGTCCAGGACTCCTTTACAAGGTGCTTAATATGTGTTGAAAGTGGACCAAGTCCCGGAGCATGTGGGTGACCTGCTTATGTGGGTGACACCAACTTGGATATAAATCTAGGATTAGTAGATGGGGGTTAGTGGGTAACAATGGACCTTCCTAAGAACCTGTGTTCTGTTTCGGAACACCTGTCTTTTCTCTCGTAGGAAGGAACTTCTTCCAAGTATGGTGTCCCACTCGGAACTTAGGAACCTTTTCTGTTCGGCTGATGCCGTGTGTTTTGACGTCGACAGCACCGTCATCAGAGAAGAAGGGATTGACGAACTGGCCAAATTCTGTGGCGTTGAGGACGCGGTGTCAGAAATGTAGGCGCGGTATCTGTTCAGTATATGGAATACGGGAGGGGGACCCAAGATAGAGTGACTGTGGATGAAAGGCTAGACCAGAGCCATGGTTCTCCTATTTTAGTCCCTGGCTAAGGAAACGACCGGTTAGTACTGACTTGATAGTACTTGTTATCCATTCATCCATTGATAGAAAGATTGTGCATAAGCTTCCAGTCTATCAATATGGGTAAGACATGCTGTTAGCTTGGCGGGCGATGATGGCAGTCACTGGCCAAAGACAACGGTCTGGGAAGCCTCCAAGTAGGTGAAAGTGTGGCGTTAGTGGTTTACTGGGCAGCTGGTTCTGGGTCAGAGCCTCTCCCACCAGCCTTCTCGCCGGCCCTCCTTCATTTCCTCTGCAACTGTCCCCAAGGCTGCTTGCAAGCACCAGATCATGAACCATTTCATGCTCAGCTGCATCTGATGCAAGCATGCCCCCAAACTTCAGAGTTCTTTCTTGGTTTACAAAAGCTCAGGGCTTCCAAGAAAGAAACCTGTGGCTAGGGTGTGTGGTGGTCTCAGTTCACTAGATGGTTCATTTGTAGACACAGAGCCCCCAAACCTTCATGTGATTCTCCAGCAGACTACTCATGATGTGGGCCCAGGGCGGTGTAGCACGTAGAGTGCAGCTGGGCTCCTCGTGGTGGACATTGGGAGGGATGGGAAGGGAAAGGCTGGGAACTGGGGACTGACCTGACTGTCGAATTTTCCTTCTAGGACACGGCGGGCCATGGGTGGGGCTGTGCCTTTTAAGGCTGCCCTCACTGAGCGCTTAGAGCTGATCCGGCCCTCTAGGGAACAGGTGCAAAGGCTGTTGGCAGAGCACCCTCCACACCTGACCCCCGGGATAAGGTAAGAGGCTCCAGGCTGTGGTTAAATACCATTTCTCCACCAGCGTGTCTTCCTGAGAGTGCCTCACATGAACTTGAGAACTCCCACCTGTGTGGTGCTCGTCACACTTGTGTATGGTCTCATCTGTTTGTCTGTCTAGACCCCACCCACATCTGCCCTCTCTCCCTTGGTGGGCTCTGAGGCAAATGCTGACACTTTCTTTCTTTTGACTGAAGACTTTCACTCTGCAAAATGGACGTTGATTATCATCTGTCCTGAGACTCTACTTTGTCTCACATAATGGGGGCGTGGGTGGGACAGAGCTGTGTGACCTCGTTTCCTAACACAGCCCTTCCATTTCTAAGCATTCAGGCAGTCCCCAGGTTACCAAAGGGCTCTGTCTCTAATTGTGTCTGTAAGAACTAGTAGGTGACGGCATACCATTATAAAATAGATACTTGAGGGAGAGAGAAAGGAATAGCTAGAAATAGCACAATAGAAAGTTTGTAAGTCCGTCTTCTGTCTATAACTGATTGGAATACCTAAAATGGAGCTACAATGGGCCCAGTGAAGGAGGCTTCCTGAGGAGCCTCTGCATTACATAAGACCATTGGTGGAATCCTGGACCCCATCCAAAATCTTCTGAGGTGGGAAATTTCCACTGGAAAGGACAAGCAGAGCAGCCTGGAGCGGCTAGAAGAACAGAAGATACTTCTTGAAAGAAAGACCAACAGGAAAAATACAAAACAGTAACGGCAGTCCGACTGATTACTACAAAAACAAGCAAGTTGCTCATTCAGGAGACATCAAGGCAAGCAGTCAGGTCCCCTCAGGACAAACCCCTTCCAAGACTGAGACTCAAGGGGAATAGACGAGCAGACATGTGCTCTGACTGGTGACCATGTTGGTCACCAATAAGGGGACGTGAGGGAAAAACAGCAATGAAGCTGTGAGCTAAGTCCAACCATGTTCAATACACTCCTGTGAACCCGGGTGGAGACCAGCAGTTTGGCAAAACCTGGGACTCCTGGGCCCAGAGTCAGTGACATAGCCACAGAGGACTAGAGTGGAGAGTGAAGCATCCAGCTGATAAGAAGAGAGGGCATATGCACAAGAACACCCACACTTGCAGATAATACCCACTTGATCTGACTTCAATGACTGGATGACCAGAGCTCAACTAGAAGAAGAAAGAAGAGGAAAAAAAGAGTAATCTGATACAATTTGATGAACTTGACCTACACCTGTGGATGCAGTAGCGCAAAAGAGGGAACAAAATCTTTACAGCGAGGATCATTCCCCACCCTGTCAATACACAGGTTAGACAGAGATGGGCAACTTGGACTTTGGATACCCCAAATGTGGGGTGGGGGGGCTACAAATGCAAGAAGTGACTGGCTTATAAACTTTCAAGAGGGAGCCTAGATCCAGAGGGTGCAGAGGAAGGTAGAATCTCCACTGAGTAGTATCTAATCTGTCTGGGCGGGGCTGATGAAAGGAGATGGGGATAGTACTTATGTGGTACAATAGTGAATAATTACTATCAGGACTGAGGTGAGGGTTGGAAATGTAAAGGTAGATGTTTTGTAGCAAAAGAAGGGGAGTGGTTGACTTTGCAGACTAGGATAGGAGGTCCCTGGGACCATCAAGGGAGAAGAGCTGGAGTGAGGGACCCTACCCAGAGAAACAATGACGCCAGAGACGGAGGCAGAGACAATGACATAGAGAGATGGAGCAGCTGGGGGCTCTAGACCCAGAGAGGGAAAGGGGCTGTGTGCTGACGACCCAGGGACAGGCTTGCAGGGTATACCCTTTGGTTGGTTAATGATGCATGGAGGGAATCGTAACCATGACAATGTAACGATATACAACAGGAAGAACGTAAAGCTAATGTTCTCCCATGTAAACTATCACATAATTCACAATAAAACATTAAAACAACAACAACTGGTAGGTGAATTGGAGCAGGTGCATGCAGTTCTTGTTTAGCTTGTTTTAGTGATTTAAAAGCTGCAAGTACAGGGGGTAATGACGATTGAGAAGAAGAATTTGTTGTGAGTGTGGATTGGTTGAGTCCTTTCTAATAATTTACATAATACTAAAGGGAAAATAGATGTTGTCTGTAAACTGGATGTTTGTAACCTGAGGACTTCCTGTATTTAGATCCAAACCCCCAAACCAAATCCACTGCTATCAAATCAATTCTCAGTCACAACAACCGTACAGGACAGAGCAGAACTGCTCCCTAGGGTTTTGGAGACAATCTTCACAGGAGCAGACAGCCTTGTCTTTCTTCCTTGCTGCTGCTGCTGGTGGGTTTGAATCACCTACTTGTGGGTAGAAGTCCAGTGCTTACTCTACAGCACTACCACGGCTCCTCTGTATTCAGATTAATGATGTTTTTACAACACAGTTGCCAATGAGTAGATTCCAACTCAGGACGACGGCCCATGTGTCTCAGATGAGAACCACGCTCCATAGGGTTTTCAGTGGCTGATTTTTTGGGCAGTAGATTGCCAGGCCTTTCTTTCACAGCACCTGTAGGTAGACTTGAACTGGTTCCAGTCTTTTGGTTAGCAGCTGAGTGAGTTGAATGTGAGCACCACTCAGAGACTCCAGAAGAGCATGTTAAACATTAATTCACCAGGCAATGTACCTGCGGTATATATATTCCGGAGGGTGGGATAGAAATTATAAATGTTATATATTAGTTTGTTTTTTACCTTTCATTTTTTTCTCTTTGGCACTAATCAGTGCTTGGTATTTTATGTTTTATTCTTCTAGGGAGCTGGTAAGTCGCTTACATGAGCGAAATGTTCAGGTTTTCCTAATATCTGGCGGCTTTCGCAGCATTGTGGAGCACGTCGCTTCAAAGCTCAGTATCCCAACAGCCAACGTATTTGCCAATAGGCTGAAATTCTACTTTAACGGTAAGACTTTTGATGCAATTTTTCCCTTTCTTTTCAGTTTCAGCATTCAGTAGTCCATTGGCTTGCAATGTAAGTGGGATCGCATCTGACTTAGATGTTGACATAAATCTTCCTTCTGAGAACTTTTGCTCTGCAAAACAGACTTCAGTCATCAACTGGCCTTTATGGGAGTAAATAGTCTCATCTTTCTCCAGTGGAGCAGCTGGTGGGTTTGAACTGTTGTCTTCTCAGTTAGCAGCCCAACACATAATCCACTGCAACACCAGGACTTCTTAGTCTAGCCTTCCATTAACCCACTGCCATCGAGCCGGTTCCAACTCACTGCCACCCTATATCAGATTTCAGAGGAGCAGCTGGTGAGCTTGAACCACTGACCCTGAAGTTCAAACCAACTTTGCAGCCCAGTGCATTAATCCACAGCGCCATACCAGGTGTCCTCCTTGGGTGGTACAAATGATTAATGAGCTCAGCTGCTAACTGAAAGTCTGGAGGTTCGAATTCACTAGATGTACCTCAGAAGAAAGGTCTGGTGATCTACTTCCAAATAATCAGAAAATGAAAACTCTATGGAGCACAGTTCTCCGTTCCATGTGGGTCGTCCCAAGTTAGAATTGCCTTGATGGCAACTGGTGACTGGTAGCTCATGTATTTAACCTCAGGAAGTTCATTAGGTTAACAAGTCACTGAAGTGTAGCTGGCTTTGGGGTAGCTTCGAGGTCTCTGCTGTGGCCCCAGTTAAGTTTTGTTTGGGGTTTTTCCCCCCAGTTACAGTGTTACATCATCTCAGAATGTCTCTAATTATTTCTGGTGGGGAGGGCAGGAGGATGGACTGACACCCTCAAAGCCAAATAACAGGATTTCACATTTAAAAATATGTTTAATAGGATATTTTCAAAGAGGTCTGTAGATTGAGAATATTGAAAAAAGAGGGGACAGAGGATGAGTGTGGTAAATATTCTTAAGAAAGGACTGTTGTTGTTATGTGCCGTGGAGTCGGTTCTGACTCACAGCGACCCTGTACAGGGTTTCTGATGCTGTAAATCTTTACGGGAGCAGAAAGCCTCATCTTTCTCCCATGGAACAGCTGGTAGTTTCGAACTGCTGGCCTTGAGGTTCGCAGCCCAATTCGTAACCACTATGCTACCACAACTCTTGAAGAAAGGACTGGACTGGTCCAAAACAAGATGGAATCTCTTCTTAGGCAAGAATTTATATTAACTATTTTTAAATTAACATATTAGTATTCCATGGTGTTCTGCTACTGTGAAACAGTTTGGGAGGCTAAGAAATAAAACGAATTTACTCAAAGGTGTTTAGAACCTCATAGAGCAACCTCTGGAGCCTCTGAATGGTTCACGTGGGGCTGCTAACCAAAAGGTTGGAGGTTCGAGTCCACCCAGAGGGTCTTGGGAAGTAAAGGCTGGCGAGTTATGTCTTTAAAAAATCAGCACCTGAGAACTCGATGAAGATAAAAACTTCAAAAAACAAAAGCAAAACTTCCACCAAGTCACAATCGGAGCACTGGTGGCACTGTCGGACAAGCACTGGACTACTATCCACAAGGTCGGCAGCTCATACTCAGCAGTAGTTGCTCTGTGGGAGAAAGATGAGGTATTTTGTACCTGTAGGGTGAAGTCTCAGAAATCCTATACAGGGCCCTATGAGTTGGAATGAATTTGATGGCAGTGAGGGTTTTTTTGTTTGTTTATTGAAAACTATGGAGAGAAAAATATTTTTTAAAAAACCTTTCAACCGAATGTAAAACTAATGTTCTCCCATGTAAACTATCATATAATTCACAATAAAACACTAAAACAAAACAAAACCTTTCACCCAAATAACAATAAAAAGGTTTACAAAATAGAGAAAACTCTATGGAGCATAGTTCTGGCCTCAAACACTGGCGGTTGCCATCCATGAGTTGGATTTGACCCCGTGGTAACTGGTACAGTTCCCTTTATATTGTTGTGAAGTGCTGTCAAGTTGGTTCTGACCCATAGTGACCCTGTATACGGTTTCCGAGGAGTGATTGGTGAGCCTCAACTGCCAAACTTGCGGTTCAAACCGACTTTACAATCCAGCGCATTATATGAGAGGCATTTATATAATTTAAAAACAAAGCTTTTCTATTTGAAGAACTATGTGTTGGATCCCAGCTGGGTGACTGCCCTGGGGGCCATTTTTAGCCTTTTCTGAGACATGTAGGTGTGTGCTGCTGTAAGTTAAGCACTGGACTGCTAAACACAAATTCATCAGTTCAAACCCAACTATATGGGTTTGCTATGAGTTGAAACCAAATCGAGGGCATGTTAAGTAACAACAGCACATCGTCTGCGAGTGTTGGTATAGCTCTAGAGGATAAACACTGGACTGCTAACTGCAAGGTTGGTGGTTCAAACCCACCACCCTAATCCTCGGAAAGCCTCTAGAGGGTTGGTCAGAACTGACTCAAAAGCCCTGAACAATAAAAGTCGTCTATGTAAATTACTGGAGCTGGCTTTATGTCATTACTGTGGGTTTTATACTATCGTCACTATTCTTTGCAGGTGAATATGCAGGCTTTGATGAGACACAGCCAACAGCTGAATCTGGTGGGAAAGGAAAAGTGATTAAATTTTTAAAGGAAAAGTATCATTTTAAGAGAATAGTTATGATTGGAGACGGGGCCACAGACTTGGAAGCTTGTCCTCCTGCTGTATGTATATGTATAATTTTTTTTAAAGCTTTTATTGTAAATTGAGTAATAGTTTACATGGGAGAACATCAGTTTTACACTCATCCTATCATATTTTGTTTCACTGCAATGATTACAGTCCCCTCTGTGCATCATCATTCAACAATATTTGCTTCTATTCCCTCTGTTTTTGTTTCTTGTTTTGGATGTACACCAAAACACTCAGGAATATATAATCATCTAAACAACAAAGGGCACATTCTGCAAGCCTGCCTCCTGGCCACCAGCACTCAGTCCCTCTCTTTCCATGACTCTAGAGTCCTCCGCTGCTCTCTCTCTCTCCATGTCTCCATCTCTGCCTCCATCTCTGGTGTCACTGCTTCTCTGGTTAGGGTCTCATGTTCCACTTATGCTCTTCTCCCTTGATGTTCCTAGCTGCGTGCATTCCACAAAGGACGTTGCTTTCCTTATCTCATTAGAACACAAGGAGACCAGACCAGAACTGTAGCCTTAAACATTTTTTCCACCTTGTTTCCTGTGATAAAAAAATAGTCGCTGTCTATGTAATCAAGGAATCGAAAATGATTAAAGACTCTTGATATTTTTAATGTTTACTTGAGTCAGTTTGAGACAACATGTACTTAGGTAATATCACAGGTGTGAAATGGACCAAGTAGTGGACCTCAGGGCCAGCATAATGACGAGTGTTGTAGTTGTTGGCTACTGTCAAGCCAGCCCCTGAAGCATGGTGACTCCATGTACAATGGAACAAAATGCAGCTAAGTCCTATACCATCCCCATGGTTCATGGTGACCCATAGGGTTTTCAATGGCTGGCTTTTGGAAGTGGTTCTCCAGGTCTTTCTTCCTACCCATATTGGTCTGGAAGTTTTGCTGAAACCTTTTCAGTATTATAACAACCCACAAACCTCCGCTGATAGACACTTTATTGTCTTAGGATGGCTGACACAGGAAGGAGCAAGATCAGTAAGGAAGCTGAGTTAAGAATCTAGTTATGTCCCCCTCCCCATCATCCCACCCCTGTTGTTGTTGTTGTCAGGTGCCATCGAGTCGGAACCGACTCATAGCGACCCCATACACAGCAGAACGAAACAATGTCTGATCTTGGGCCAACCTCACTACCACCGCCACACTTGACGCCATCAATGATGCTACCTGGCTGATCCATCTCGTTGGGGGTCTTCCTCTTTTACTCTGACCCTCCAACTTACCCAGTATGACATCCTTCTCCAGTGACTGTTCTCTCCAGACAATGTGTCCAAAGTATGAGAGATGAAGCCTAGCCATCTTGGCCTCCAAGGAGCACTCTGGTTGCACTTCTTCCAAAACAGATCTATTGGTTCTTTTGGCAGTCCATGGCACTTTCAATATTCTCCTCCAACACCACAACTCAAAGGCATCAATTCTTCTACGGTCTTCCTTATTCACTGTCCAGCTTTCGCATCCATATGAGGTTACTGAAAATACCATGGCTTGGTTCAGGTGCACCTTAGTCCTCAAGTTGACATCTCTGCTCTTCAACACTTTAAAAAGTTCCTGTGCAGCAGATTTGCCCAATGCAATACGTCGTCTGATCTCTTGACTGCTGCTTCCGCGAGTGTTGATAGTTGATCCAAGAATGAAGTCCTTGACAACTTCAATCTCTTCTCCATTGATAAGAATGCTGTTTATTGGTCCAGTGGTGAGGATTTTTGTTTTCTTTACATTGAGTTGTAATCCATACGGAAGGCTGTGCTCTTTGATCTTCATCAGTAAATATTTTAAGTCCTCTTCACTTTCAGCAAGCAAGGTTGTATCTTCTGCATATCTCAGGTTGTTAATAAGTCTTCCTCCAATCCTGATGCCACATTTTTCTTCATAGAACCCAGCTTCTCGTATTATTTGCTCAGCATACATATTGAACAAGTATGGTGAAAGAACACAACCCTGTCGCACACCTTTCCCAATTTTAAAACACAGTGTTCCCATGCGCTGTTCGAACAACTGCCTCTTGGTCCACCCCTGTAGTATGCAAATAAAAAGGAAGGGAAAGGGCAAGTAAAAGAAAACTGTACTTTTAAATTATGTGTCTATCTTGCCAGAGAAAGAGAAAATACCATTTTAAAAGACCATTGACAAAAAAGAAGGCATCATTTCATAGAATTAGTAAGATGTAACTTTATAAACAGGGAGCCCCTGGGTGACACAATTATGATCGGCTGCCAGTCAAAAGTTTGTTGGTTCTAGTCTACCCAGAGGTACCTCAGAAGAAAGGTCTGGTGATCTGTTTCTGAAACAGTCAGGCCCTGAAAGCCCTATGGAGCACAGTTCTACTCTGATACACATGGGATCGCCATGTGTCAGAATCAACTCAATGGCAGCTGTGTGTTTTTAAAACTGTAAACAGCTTCAATGATGAAAAGTAAAGTTCTGCCACCATATCAGGTCTCTTGTCTCTTTTGGTCCAGAATGAGATCCTGGCATATACCCTGAGGTGGATATCTGGTCCTAATGCGAATTCCAGGTCCCGAGGTTCTCCCACTGTTCTTTGTGAGACATGGCTATGACTACCAGCTTAGAACTCAGACATTCTCATCAGGTGACGTGTGGTCACCGTTCTGTGAACATTTGTCTTGGTTCTCGGGGGGCAGGGACAGACTCTTACCCTTTTCCCAAGCCCTCTACAGTGCTCAGTGCTGAACCATTGCCATAGTGCCTGTCTCTGACTTGTGTGTGAGCCAAGGGGTGTCTCTTCATGTCACAGTTCAGGGAGGGCACCCAGTGAGCCTGGCATCACCTATTCCCACAGTTTTCATTCAAACCAGAAACTTAATGAAAACAGGGAGGACCACACTCCTAAGAACTATCAGCCATCCGAGATCCAAATGTTAGTATTTATCTAGGGAGAAAGCTCAGAAGGTAGGAAGAGACAGGAAAGAAGGACAAGTGGAAGTGAGAAACACAGGGAGGAAGCGGGAAGAGGACTGTCCCACTGCATTCAGCACCACAAATCAAAATGGGTGTATGAATTGTTGAATGGAAAATCAATGTGCCCTGTAAACTTTCACCCAAACCACAGTAAAAAGTTAAAACAAACCAAACAAACAAGACAAAGATTTATTGCCTGCTCCTACTGAAACTGTTTTTAAAAAGCTATTTCCTTTTTTTTTTTTTTTTTTAATGTTTTAGGATGTTTTCATTGGATTTGGAGGAAATGTGATTAGACAACAAGTTAAAGATAGTGCCAAGTGGTACATCACCGATTTCGTGGAGCTTCTGAAAGACCTGGAGGAATAATGTCAATTTGTGGACAGCTAACAACTTCAGATAAATTTTTACCAGTGAAACGGATTCATGCTGTTGGTTTAGAATTGTCAGTTACAACTTGATATACAAATTTGGTGCTGATTATTTGTACTTTTTAGTAAACTACAGGGAGGGCACCAAGAAAATTCTTTTTTAAAAAAACTTTAATTCAAGTATTTTCATGACCATTAATTTGTTACTTAATTGCCTGGAGAATTTTATAATCTGAATTCTTGATGTATGTTCCAGGGTATATTTTTATCTGAAGTCTTTTAAAGATGGATAATCAATTAGCTCTTGGAAATATGGATTAGGCAGCTGTAAGTGGATATTGGTGTCCCCTTTGCTATATAAATAAAAATGTATCCATGTTTCAGAACAGATGTGTGGAATTTTCAATTTTGCCTCTCACTGACTTTGACTCAATATTTCAGGTAGTTTAAATAGATATAACTTCCAGGCCAGGAATAGATCCAGGACTCTCCTTAGTGCCTGTTATTCCTGGATGGCACAAATGTTTAAGCACTCGGCTGCAAACTGAAAGGCTAGAGGGTTGAACCCACCCAGAGGTGCTGTGGAAGAAAGCCCTGGCAATCTAGTTCCAGGAAAAAAACAACAGCTGTTGAGAAGCTTATGGAGTGCAGTACCACATGGATACACATGGGGTCACCATGAGTCAGGATCAATGTGATGGCAACTGGTTTGTTGTTTTTTAGTGTTGATGTCCAGTGGTGGTCACTGTGTCTCCACCATACACTCTGTGTCCCCCTCTCAGCGCTGAGCCAAAGGGTCAGATGTTCTTTTTTACCTCTCAGAAACCTTATCACATTTTATTGTGAATAAGTTTTCCAAGACTAATCTTTACAAGCCTCATCTTTCTCCTATGGAGTTGCTGGTGGGATTGAACTTCTGACCTTTTGGTTAGGAGCCTAATGCCAAACTCACAGGGTTCCCAGTGTTTATTTATTTTTTAACAATGGAGGCTTAAATCAAATGCTAACCTTTAAAAGTGGGTACTGGCAAACTGTCCCTCATCTGATTAATCAGTTATGCTTGTTAGTAATCGCATGCATGAGCCCTGGATATCCACAGATAAATGTAAAAACCTTCCCTAAAAGCCGAGACTGTAAATTCCAAAAAGGCAAAGTTTCCCCCATTCCCCCACCCCCCAAAAAAGCTAAAGAGGATAGAGAGAAAACACTCTCTATGATGATGTATGGAGGGGATTATAATCAATGTAATGAAACAAGTCATATGAATGGTTGAATGTGAAACTGATGATGTGCCCTGTAAACTTTCACTCAATCCACAATAAAAACCTTAAAAAAAAAAAAAAAAAAAAGTGGGTACTGAAAATCACATGAAATCAAAGAAATAACAAACTTGAGGAACCCCAACTGAAGATCAGCACTTTCTGTCTATGAATTATGAAATAACCCCAAACAGCACGCATGATCCATTTCTTGTTTATAGCTGACTTGAAAAAGACCTTCAGGGCACATTCGCTCCCCTTATTTCCCAGCAGTCACCAAAACAGGGAAATTTCACAACAACGTCTCAGTCTAAGCTTCTCAACCCTTTCTGATGGGAAAATGGGGGGAGGAGGCGGGTACCAGCTTAGGAGGCAGCATGCTTGGAACATATTGGATAATTAAGTAGAAAATGCCACCAGATGTTAATACTGGAAATCATTTGAAAAACTTATAATTGAGTCAGACAATTGAAGCAGGCCAAAGAATAAAATCGGAGGAATTCGATTTCCTTCAAAATCGGGGTTTTCTGTAGGAGATACATGAAGTAGGTCTGGTGACATTGAAAATAAACTCACAAACAAAGAGGCGGTTGTTTCATTATTGGTGAACACTTGCTGGCAAGGCTCCTAGGAGCTGCTTTGTGGCATTTGTACGCTCAGGAGTGCATGCTGGAGCAAGATCGGGCAAGCCAGGGCTGGGGAAAGCCTGCAGCGCCTGCCACCCACGGGTAGGGGCCTGAAGAGAGTGGGAATCTCAGCTCCTGAGAAATCGCCCACTGTGCCCACATCATCACCCATCACCCAGCCCTTCCTCTGCCACCCTCTCCATACAAAAAAAAGCCTGCACAATTGCTTCTTTGTTGCCTTAGTGGGGTGAGTTTTACATGACGACGTAACTACCACCTCTACTGCTTTTTGAATCTTGGATTTGCCAGGAGCCTTTATAGAATGAGTCTCCCAGGAGTTAGGTACAGGCTGACCTCGGTGATACTGTAGGTTTGGTTCCACAATAATGCAAAGATCGCCATCAAGCGAATTGTGAATGTTCTGGTTTCCCAGTGCCGATCAAAGCGATGTTCACATTAGACTCTTCGTCTGTGAAATGTGCAGTACCATGATGGAAAAGTACGAAATCTAGTGAGAATATCACAATGCGAGAGACGCACAGAGTGTGCACACACCATTGGGAAAATGGTGCTGACAGACTTGCTTAATGCAGGGTTGTCACACCTTCAATTTGCAACAAATGCAATCTCTGTGAGGTGCAATAAAACAGAGCCTGCCTGTACAATGTTAAGCCAGGACCTGATTTGGAAAACAGTGGCCATGTCACGTGATTTCCCATCCTTGTTACATTGTTAGCTGCTATCCAGTTCATCATGACTCAAGGGACCAAAACGCTGCCCAGTCTGATGCCATTCCCTTCACTGGTGTTACAGATCAGATTGTTGCAATCACCAGACCTTTCTTCCTAGTTCACCTTTGTTTGAAAGTTCCACTGAAACTTGCTCAGCATCAAAGCAACACACAAGCCTCCTCTGTCACACAGGTAGTAGCAGCCCATGAAGTGCAGTACCCAGGAATCAAACCCGAGTCTCCTGCAAGGAAGGCACATATTCTACCACAAAATCGCTACTGCCTCTACTTCCCCTGTTGTACCATATTGTGAAGACTCCTGGTGTGGCATTTTGGGATCAGTTCAAACCCACCAGCTGCTCCTCAGAAACCCTATACATGGTCGGTATGAGTCAGAACAACGACCAGGTTTTGTGCTAATTAAGAACACTGTTTACATAAATAGAAAAAAAGAATTGGAGTCATAACTAAATTACGGATTGAAACCGGTCCCTGTGGTGTAGTGAATTATCTAACGTCTCTTCTAGCCACAGTCTGCAACTTCCACCAAAGAGTGGTTCTGCCCTGCTGGGTCTGGGTAAGAGGTGGTGGCAGATGCTACTGATAGGACAACATGATTCAGCTGTGGAGGTCAGCAGAGTTCACTGTAATCGTAAAAACTTGAACCTCTAGCATGTGTTTGAAATGAACCATCTCAGAAGCAAGAAGCAGGAGGGAAGTGCATCCTTTAGACAGGAGATCTCTGTTCACTGAGATTCCCTCACCCAGAGACAGAAAGCTGTGACACTAAGGAGGGGCAGAGGAGCAGCAGCAGCGGCAGAACCTAGACCCAGAGCACCAGACAGAGCTGTGGACTTCCCAGCCCACGGAGCAAGGAAAGCTGAGTGACTTTGGGCAGGAAGCTGGCGTGCAGGGTGGGGTACCTCCAGGCAGTTAAGTGGAGGAGCTAGGTTAGTTGACCCACAGAGTGAGTCAGAGTCAAGTACCTTTATGTTTAGGCTTAAAGAGGAACGGTGTGTCCTGTGGGCATTTATCTGCAGCTGACAGAACAACCATGCCCTGAGCATTTCTGATCCTGTTAATTCCCTAATGAACCCCATAACTGTGAGTATGGTGTGTGAGTTCTGTGTGGCCACTGCAATGGATTATGGGACCCAGGTGAGAAGTACTGTGGAGGGAGAAACGGTTGGTGCCACATGTTTTTGCAGTCCCTGTATTAACTCAAAACTTTATAGGCTCAAAACAACAGTACTCAAGTTTTCTGGTTCTTCTTCCTGTGGTTTAACAGTTACCTTGATGGTGTTGGTGTATCTCTTTTCTATTGAAGGCAAGTTTTTCTTCATTAAGCCCAGGGAGCTCACCCTGCCACTACGTTCAAAAGTACGGGGTTTCATCTTGTCTAAACAGATCCAGTGAAAGGAGATGGGGATAAGATTCTTATAATTCAACAGTGAGTAATTGTTATCATGATTAATTGCGACTGTCACAATTGAAAAGGTAGAAGTTTTGTAACAAAAACGGGGGAGTAGCTAATCTTACAGTCCAGAAACAGAGGACTCTAGGATCATCAAGGGAGAAGAGCATGAGAGGAATGTGGGACCCTATCCAGAGAAGCAGCAACACCAGAGATGGAGGCAGAGATGAGGACATAGAGAGAGGGAGCAGCTGAGGACTCTAGATTCATGGAAAGAGAGGGACTGAGCACTGGAGATCAAGAGGCAGGCTTGCAGAATGTGCTCTTTGGTTGTTTAAATTATTATATTCCAGAGTGTTTTTGCGTACAACCCCCACCCCCAAAATATACCCAGAGGGAATAGAAGCAAATACTGTTGAATAATGATGCATGGAGGGGATTGTAATCATTGCAATGAAACGCTGAGTATAAAACTAATGTTCTCCCATGTAAACTATCACTCATTTCACAATAAAAACTTGAAGGCAAAAAAAAACAAAAAAAGTAGGGGGCAGCATTCCAGAACCACAGCAGGAGAGTCAAGTCCAACTACCGCCTCTCTATCAAACGGGTGCCAAATGGTTTCAGCAGAGTATTCAGACTAATTAGGAAGTATGGCCTAATGATCTCCTTCCAAAAGTCAACCAGTGAAAACTGTTGATTCGGGGGCTTTAAAAAAGGAGCTCTGGTAGCATAGTGGTTACGAATCGGGCTGTGAACCTTAAGGTCAGCGGTTCGAAACTACCAGCTGCACCGCGGGAGAAAGATGAGGCTTTCTACTCCCGTAAAGATTTACACCCTCGGAAACCCTATACAGGGTTGCTATGGGTCGGAACCGACTCGATGGCACATAACAACAACAACAAAAACAACAATAAACGTAGAAGGAGAGTCAGAAATCAGAAGAGGAAATGGAATGTGTGGCTCACT